CAACACTGATGTTGCTGATTTTGATGATGACATGGTCTAAGTCATTATGTCCTTTGGTATGTACTTTTGCACCCACAGAGTGACTTGCTCCGAAGCATGCAGTTACTTAACACTCCTCCTTGCAGCCCAAGAAGGGGCTTTACGTGTCTTGGACGTTGTATTGGTTGTAGTGTGACAGATGAAGTTAGTGACGTATCTCTAAGGCTCGTGCCAAGTTTGCTAATTTGAGACACTTATGGCGACAAAGCGGCATATTCGTGAATCGTAAGGGACGTGTATCAGACTTTTATTGCATGGCTTTGAGATGTGGCTTCTGCGAGCAGCCGAACTGAGATGTTTTCAGGCAACCGTCTCAGAACCATAGCTCTTATAGGTTGATGCCAGGAAACCCAAACGGACCAAATGCAAAACGAATTTTCGGTTTTGCAACGGCGACTTCAGTCGTAGAACGTTTCCACCACTGCAAGCTAAGGTGGCTGGTCCATGGGTTAATTTTAACAAGTTACGGCTTGCCCAGAAGAGCGTTGTTTTCTATGCCTATTTCGGAGGTGTGTAAAATCCAGAGGTAAAGAGAATAGGACATTTCCGAAAGGAATGGGGGGATGTTACGAGAAATCTGGTTGCTGTTGGTGCGACTGTCAGGGTTCGCGTGACTTTCATTGTGCATGGTTGGAGACACTGCAAAATATGGCTGCTAATCGTGTCATTTGCTGTCAGGGGTCGCGTGACTTTCATTGTGCATGGTTGGAGACACTGCAAAATATGGCTGCTAATCGATGTCATTTGCGTTGTTAGCTTGTATCCACAGTGGCTGAATGAAGGTCAGACGTATAGGCATCTGGGAATGACTTTGACCACTAGACCCCCTCCTCACCCACTTATTTCTTCCTCCGCAATGATTTTTTCAAAAAACCGATGTTTATGAGGCAGCGAAGCGTCAGTGACGGAAACTGGTCGATGATAATGATGGCAATCGGCCAACAACTTGTGCCCAAGCTATTTGCGCGCCACCGAACTAAAGCTGGGGTACGATATATCTACCTGAAGTTGCTGTTGTTTTTCCCATCGATACGGATTGGTCAGCTGGTCAGTATCGGTCGGTTAATAGGCCGATAAAAAATGCGAGTCGATGACTCAGTGGTTACAGCGCGAATTTACTAATCGGAAGGCCCGTGACTCGAATTCGACCTCTGCCCCTCAACTTCCCTTATCTAGGCTTGGGCATCCTGGCAGTATCCCAGCCCTCGTGCTTCCTTCGGGTGGTATGGCAGCTAGGCATGGGAAGAGTGTTACAGCTAAACGATTTATATTTATTTTTATTCACACCCTAATAATTCCTTGTCAGCAAAGGAAACGTGTAGTAAAGAGATACGTAGTGCTATACGGGTTTTCTTAATACGATGCTACAATAAGTTCTTTCAGTTGATTCTTGAATACCGAATTCATCATTTATGTGATTGGTTGGCACTTGTTCAGATCACATGAATGTTTCACGGATAAGCTTGATGTCACAGATCATGTATGAAGGGTACGTTGACCACAGATGCTACTGTTTCGGCCACCGGGAAATGGGAGAGCATGGGAGATTTAGGTAGTGGAAATGATAAGAGAATAGGACATTTCCGAAAGGAATGGGGGGATGTTACGAGAAATCTGGTTGCTGTTGGTGCGACTGTCAGGGTTCGCGTGACTTTCATTGTGCATGGTTGGAGACACTGCAAAATATGGCTGCTAATCGATGTCATTTGCGTTGTTAGCTTGTATCCACAGTGGCTGAATGAAGGTCAGACGTATAGGCATCTGGGAATGACTTTGACCACTAGACCCCCTCCTCACCCACTTATTTCTTCCTCCGCAATGATTTTTTCAAAAAACCGATGTTTATGAGGCAGCGAAGCGTCAGTGACGGAAACTGGTCGATGATAATGATGGCAATCGGCCAACAACTTGTGCCCAAGCTATTTGCGCGCCACCGAACTAAAGCTGGGGTACGATATATCTACCTGAAGTTGCTGTTGTTTTTCCCATCGATACGGATTGGTCAGCTGGTCAGTATCGGTCGGTTAATAGGCCGATAAAAAATGCGAGTCGATGACTCAGTGGTTACAGCGCGAATTTACTAATCGGAAGGCCCGTGACTCGAATTCGACCTCTGCCCCTCAACTTCCCTTATCTAGGCTTGGGCATCCTGGCAGTATCCCAGCCCTCGTGCTTCCTTCGGGTGGTATGGCAGCTAGGCATGGGAAGAGTGTTACAGCTAAACGATTTATATTTATTTTTATTCACACCCTAATAATTCCTTGTCAGCAAAGGAAACGTGTAGTAAAGAGATACGTAGTGCTATACGGGTTTTCTTAATACGATGCTACAATAAGTTCTTTCAGTTGATTCTTGAATACCGAATTCATCATTTATGTGATTGGTTGGCACTTGTTCAGATCACATGAATGTTTCACGGATAAGCTTGATGTCACAGATCATGTATGAAGGGTACGTTGACCACAGATGCTACTGTTTCGGCCACCGGGAAATGGGAGAGCATGGGAGATTTAGGTAGTGGAAATGATAGCACAGTCATCGTCATCATCATCATCATCATCGGTGGCATGACATCAGTGTTCAACACCAATTCTCTACTGCTGTACAACCATGATTTATTTGAAAGCCTTATTGTAAAGAAAAGAATAGCACACATAACACAATCATTTAGTTGCTGTATTAGCCTAGTTATCTGAAGAAACGGGAAGCGGGGTGTTCAGGGCTCACTGAAAACGATAGCTTTGATACCGGAGTTTCATTGACTATGTGATTGAATCGTGTCTGCCAATTTCAGCGGGTGTTAATTGTTTAGCCCCCAGCTCCCCATCCGAGTAGATGGAAGTTGTCAACTTGGTTGAGTTTACTGGCTAATGTTCTCGTACTTCGTTACCAAGTGGTATGATGTCAGCTTCCGGTTGTTCTCACTCAGCTAATTGCTGGGCAAAACGAGCCTTGCGAAAGCGATAGCCGTCTAATGTGTGGAAGACATGTCCTAACTGGAGTAACCCACGAATCGGAGTAGCTCATCCATAACGAGAGGGTTCGTCGTTTCTGAAACCAACTGGCGTCCCTCAAGATCGCCAATCCGATGTCCCCACTAGACCCAACACAGGCCGTCAAACATCGAGAGTTTCCATACATCCCATGTTCGTAGATTCGACTTGTTTGTTCCGTAGAATGGTGTGGTTTGCACGATCGCAGTGTGTTCTTTGTCCTTGACATAGACCGATGGTGCGTCAGTGATCCAGATGTCGAAGGTTGAAGAAAGTTTCCCTAGAGTTGTTTCGTCTCCCGCCTGTCCACCGGAACTTCTACAACTTTCCGTGGAAATAAATTCACCTATCACGCCCGTTGACTGATTTGCATGCATGAGCTTTGGGCTTGATCTCACCAAGTTCTGTAGCTGCACATTACACTTTGCAGGTGTGAAGTTCACACCAAACCGTGCGGCAGTTATTTAGGCTAGTTAAAATGACTGAAATATTTGAGGGACACTAACAAAGAAGGACGGTAACGTCTGCATACTCAATATCTTTGAGCGAATGTTTCGGGAGCATTCTCTTCCTGAGTTCTCAGAGTCCGCCAGAGAAGTTCCAAAAAGCAGATGGAAGAGAAACGATGAGAGAGGAACCAGCCTTATTTTACATCACTCCATATGATTAGCCCAGGTCACAGCTTGCTGTTGGAGTTGGAATATAGTGACCAGTATTATGCTTTCGTTCCACAGCTTCAATGCCCTCCCTCATCGTGTTACCTTAAACGGAACTCGCTTGGAGTTATACGTGTTTCGCTCCCCTAGGTTGCACCACTGAGTGGAACGACAGCTTCTGTGTGAGATCCCACAGGCGTTTGATGTATCATCATAGACCTGTCCATGACTCTTTAAGGTGCGGGCCACAGACTAGTAATAGACATTGGTTTCACTGGGGGTGAGCTGTCCGCACCACATACTTTCCACCGAAACTCACTGGCTTCTTGTTTTCACGGAAACGTCTTTATTTGGGACAGCCTATTTTTCATTCGGAACAATATGGGGATTAGACAGCGTTCAATTTCTCTCACTTTTGTGCAGCTGTTGTTTTCACAAGGCCTGTGTGTGAGAGGAATATATGGCCGGTGTATGCCCGACGATTAGTGCTGGCGATGGGGACACTTTATGAAAGTAATAGTTGTATCCGAACCCAGGGGATAGGTTATTATTTGGAGAGATTACTTTCACTACATTTCTGGCGCTCATTACATATTTCTTTGGGCCAACAAAATGGTTTCAGACAACTCTGCTTTTCAACTTTTCCATTTCAGATCTCAGACCGTATGGTTCCCAAATGGTATTCTTTCGAGTATGTGAATATTTTCATAATTCTCTTTTATTCAGACATTCACCGGTGTTCACACTGTTGTCTTCCTGTTCGCCCGTCGGCTGAGTGGCCGACCTTCAGTTTTCGGTCCGGTTACTCCAGAATTATTTCCTTCAGTAGATAATATACAGACCTTGAAGTACCCAACGATATCTACAATTCTAAATAGGACTATGCGTCCTGAAAGCGCCCTAGTTTTGCATAAGTGGCAAGAAAAGAAGAAACGTGAAATGGGTGAGGAGGGCTTCGCCGCCTACCTACAAGGTGCTCTTGAATTGAATTAGTCTCGATGAACTGTAGGGATAAAGAGTCTGGGACGAGGTGTTCACAGCGCTATTCACTATAGGCTGCTGAATGGAGTTTTCGCTGCCGAATTACCTCGGGAAATTTCAAGCTACTGCCAAAGTGTACGACATATCTTGGATGGTGTCACCCTACGTTGCGTCGAATTGGACTGCCTTCACACTGAACTACGATATCGCGGTCGTCTGGACAGCATCGTCCTACTTGGGTAAGAATACAATTGCAACACCAACCAACTCTGAACCTCCATGGAATTCCACCTTGGTTAATTAACTATTTGCGAATTTTTTTCCGTTACACATTTACGTTTGTCACCAGATCAAATCGATGTCACCCATCATCGGGGTTTCGATATTGTGGACCAAATATCGCTACTGATTTCCAGTTCATTTCGTTTGATCTGGTTTTCGCGAGACCGGTGCGTTTATTGGTGGTTGGCGAGTGGCCGTTAATCTTTGCGATTAGCTTGCAAACTTTTATCACCAATCGAGTGACGTCAGTGTGCAGTTGCGTTTCATGGGACAACCCGAACCTCTGCATGGAAACGGAACTTTGTGCACTCATTTTTGTCAACGGTACGCAAAAACGCCTGCCCATTTATCTGCCAACCATATGGGTTACGGCTTGACAACTGTACGGCGACTCGAGTCATAACAGACTGTGTCTGCGAAGTCGCATGAAGGAGAATCGTGCGTGCACAGGAAATAAACAGCAGAGGAATAGGGGCTCATCAGTAAAGGTAATTGATCTGGGGGATGAGGCGCACACATAGTGAGCAAAGTGGCGACGCAAAGACGCTATACTTCTTAGCCACCCCATCGACCCTGAAGTTCCCCTTTCAATGGTGCACTCATGCAGCTCGAATGATCTATTTTAGTTCTTTGTCTGCGTGTGGTTGTCCAAACTTTCTGCAAAGTTTTGTGTCCATTACTCTTGCAGTAATGGGCACTTTTTACAGCGTTTTTAGCACATATATGTATTTCAAGTGTACGACATTTCTCCACATGTTTTTCACGATTTCTTTGTTTTTGACGATGTTCTGAGTCCATCGACTGATTCACATGGTTTCGACACTTGGGCTGTCTAATCCACAAATTATGCTGCATTCCTCGAGTTAATTCGGTTTAAAATTCGTCGATCTTTCAAATGTATACCGAATAGGGCAATCACTTACAGCTTATCTCGAGGTGGGGGGACCGTGTCATTTCCGAATAGTTCGGAAAACAATGGGTGGATCTAGTTTTTCCCCAAATCGCTCTGCAACAATGACTTACCGATCGTTTCCAAGTGTCTTCCCAAGGTAGCCCCTTGTGATCCATGGTATGCAATGATATACTGTGCAGAGACGTTAGCGGTTGGCTTGATTTTTCCCGCTGTGTCAGAACTCCGAGTAAGCAAAAGGGTGTCAGGACTGTAATATTGCATGCAGCAAGTGCAAGAATTTTTTCTGCAAATTGCGTACAAATGCGCATCTTTTCTGTGTGTGTAAGATGTTACACCGTTGACTGTCCTCTGATATTTATATCGACGTTTGCTTATGTATCGAATGGCTAATAGGTGAGCAGTTTTAATGTTAAGCTGATGGAATCGACACCCTGGTTGGTTTTCATCCTCGTATCCATACTTACACTGATTTTCGTTGCCCTCTTCACGAAGATTTCTTAGTTCGTTATCTGCACAAGTCACAGTAAGCCATCCTTGGATTGTTTGAAGGCGCATGTATCAGTCACTTTTCAAGTGTCCTGATAGTAACATTATGGTCTCCTAATGTGAAATTAAAGTATCATAAGAAGTGAATAATTCGGCGCGCGCACCTTTTTTGAAGTCCGAGCCACTCTCTCATTTGTGGGGACATTCATAGGATGCGTTGCACGGACATTCACACGCGTGTACGCATCTTTCAAAATTCGATGCGCCAGTTGCTTCACTCGTCATTTCGAAATTAGCTAGTGTGTGTGCTTGTCGTAGGTTGACCGGAATCAAGGGATTATTGCATTAGTCACTAAATTATGACCGGATATATCATACAAACGTGGTAGACGATCGGCAAACACGTTCGCCTTCAACATCATAACGAAGTAGGTAGGTGCAAACTTGTGACTGGCAACGGAAAGACTCGTTGGTTTTGCTAACGTTCTTTTGTGGACACAAAACCAGTTTCGCAGTTTGCTGGTTACGAACTCTACAGTCGCAAACCAGCGATGGAGCCATGTGCTGTATTGCTTGTATTCGCTTTTGTGGCGGAAACAAGTGTTCTGTGGTGTCAATTCGGGCAGCATAAAGATGTAGCTCGGTTAGCATGCAGTTATCTTTGCCACCTATTATCTATGAACATCATCCCAGTGACTGCATCGATCCTTCACATTTTCGAAACCGGCGTTGCTTATTTGGTTGAAATAAACACTTATTGACAACTATTTGGTTGTATTTTGGCCAAGATTTTAAGTTGCAAGTGAAGTTAACCCTTGGTGAAAGATTAAGAAGTACTGTATTGCTGTTCCACGCATTTCGGAAGTCAGCAGAATTGTGCATCTCTGGGGCGTTTGTTACCCTTGATGCTTCGGTCACTGGTTGAACGTCGTACAATGTGTGCACGGGTAGCTGACCGGTAACGCGATTGACTCGCACCCGAATAGGAAATCGCGCAACTGTCTGCACCGTCTGTATTTGTACGAAGCGGGAAAATTTGTGATTTGGGAAATGCACAGACGTATGAGGTGAGTCATGCAGAAAAGTGATGTCCTGCGTTGATCACACCATTCTTATAATATCATAGCTTTGGCGTTAATTGGGCTTTTAGCTTTTCCACGCTTGCTCAGAGTGCTGCAAGAGTGATGTCGTCGGTGGTTATGTTTCCGTCAGATTCTATTGCGGGATCCGACTTAGCGACAGAAAGGTGTATGCAGTCATTTTGTCTCCTGTGTAAACCCGCTCTGGGTACTATTTTGCACAGGAGCCCAATAGATAGTGGTAGAATCGGTAGCTTCACATTTCACTGTAACCCTTAGCCTAAAAACAACTGTACGCAATGAAAAGAGCGCAATTACCGAACGAACGTTGGTCGGCAAGCGAAACAAAACGTAACAGAATTGTTATATTGTTGAAACAAAGGAACTAGGACTAGCCAGAATTCTCTATTTTCGGCCCAACAGACTGCGAGGTTCTGAGCAGTGTCGGCATGTTCTATGTGGCGGTTAGCATTCAGAGACCTTTTAAAGAAGCTCACTCATCTTTTGTTTATTCAACTTTAGCGCTTGAGCCGTTTGCTTTGATTTCGAAATCAAACTTATTTCTTGATCATTTGTTTGAGGCACTTGTCCGATCGGACTAGTGACGATCGAAATATGTTTACTATGTGGCAACTACATTTTGAAAAAATCGGAGACATTCAGCCGAATGAAGGGGTTAATTTGCATTTAGCTCGCAGGTGGTCGGATGTTCTGTGCCAGAGGCTTGTGCAAACAGAACCGGTTCCACCCGATACGTTTTCCGGGAGTAAGTGACCGCGCTATAAACTACCGACACTATATCTAGATCAAATACTGCTTGTCTCTTTTTGATCACGCAGGATGGCGAAGGTTATGCTTGTTCTTCCTAGACACTGACTGACTAGGGAATACGGTTGTCATGTTCGGCGTAGTTTAATTAAACTCAATGCTTGCAGTAGTCTCTCGAAATACATTATGTACTTTTAATTACAAGTCCGTATTGTGGGGCGTATTCATGGCCAGTTGTGTGCTAACTTGTCCTGTTTGCTTTATCCTTTTCGGTAGACCCAGTCAAGAGGCGTGCGTGACTGAATGGAAGTCGGTTCACGAGGCAAAACGTGTCACCTCGATAGAAAAAGCCTACGATGCCCCAATCCAACTAGCCGCATATGTAGGTGCTTACAACAGCAACCGTCCTCCGGGTGTTGAACAGGTAAACTCGTTATTCCCACTCATCAGTTCTGTTGTCTTGGTAGAGATGTTCTTGATGCCCGCATGCCTGATTTACCTACCTTTATTCCCGCTCCACCTTCATCAGAGTCGTATATTTTGGACACGGATAGCATGTCTTTTGTCTTGTGTTGCAATTAACCTGATACGTATCTGAGCCAAAAATGTACTGATTCGTTCCTGCAGATCAAGCGAGGCATGCTGGTTTACGTCTATGCTGACGGTTATCCTGCTGACCGACTCGTCCTCAGTCCCAATGACCTAGAATACTACTGGGACGTATGGTGCCAAAGAGTGGAGGATTACTATACAAAAGTGAGTGAGCTTTGTGTTTCCTCGTATCAGCTCGAATTTTGCCTGTTGGTTGCCAGTCCACTTCTGACCGCCTGACTTATATTCTCAGCTGTGCTTTCTTCACATTTCTGACTTTGTTTTTGTCTCCATCCTATTTCCGGTGACTGCGCCTTGCTTGTGGATTGTCAAAAAAGCTATACTTCAAGCCATACTTGATGCACTAAAGGTAGTGTGCTCTAAATCACGAACATTCTGTTTAGGTTATAGTATGAAGAGCACACACACATTTGTGGGGAAATCGGTGCTTATTCGAAAACAATGTGTCTTGTAATTCACCTGTTAATTCAGCCATTTCATTACTAATTTTCAGTGTAATAGTCTAGCGAGTGTTTATCGTGTCTCCACTGTTTTACTTGAACAGTAATACCTTCGGATACAGTACATTCAGTTGTAGAATATACGAGAGATTCATTTCATTACTAATTTTCAGTGTAATAGTCTAGCGAGTGTTTATCGTGTCTCCACTGTTTTACTTGAACAGTAATACCTTCGGATACAGTACATTCAGTTGTAGAATATCATAAACGAGAGATTCATTTGAGTCTCTCGTGAAAACCATATTGATTTGCAAATGAGTGTATCTCTCGAAAACAGTGCAATTTGGGTTCAAGTAGATCATAAGGTTGACGGAAATTCGGGGACTGCGCCTACCTGATGAGCCTCAAGAAGGGCGAAACCGATCGTGGGCTGTCGAAGGGTTCTCAGCAACCCTGTGAGTAGTTTCCTTTATGAACAGTAATACCTTCGGATCTAATGTAAACCTTCTTTACTCTGACTACCGGGACACCCAAATACACTACATGAAAACAAAGGCGTGGAGATTTTGAGATTCAAGTTGATCAACCTTGATTTCCCTGACCAGTTATTTCAAGCAATGTGATGACTTAGTGCTTACTTGAACTATGTTGCATAGTGTTCAAAGTTTCCAGCGGGCTTAGGCTCAAGCCTACGTTCTTAGGTTTGATTTCGATCTTTACCTGCTACAAAGTTTCAATAAAATAACTCGTCAGGTGCATAGATTAAAATGTATTCAAACCACAGTCTGGGTGTATGATGTGCATGAAATTGTATGACGACATCACTGATAACTATAGTAATTGAGGGTGACGGTGGACACAGTGCCTTCCCTACCTGCACTTCTACCGATATGTGAGATGAACCGTTCCTTGGTTTTCGCTCTTGAGATTCGATCGGGGCAAGTGGTGTCGTCAAGAGGTACGAATGTTATTGTGTGGCAATGCTTAACATCATGTACTGCTTCTATGGAACAGATATATGCTACGGAACTGGGTGCAGCGATATGAAATCTGTGGTGAAAGTACTGGTTGATGGCATGGTGGACTTTATGGTTTTGAACGTCTCCTCGGTTTCTGAATATCTGGAACGGGGCCAAGTTGAGGATGATTCCATTAGTTGCTTCGGTTTGCTGCTTACGACGTCCATATCTATCAGTTCTTCGGATGAGGCAAACTGTGGGAAATCCATTGGACTTGGCGCTCTATACACAGTTTCAGTAGCTGGACTCATACACTGTACAGGCGAAGTTTCTGAGATCAGGGGCTTTTCCATTACAGGGGTTTGCGAGTCTGTGATAGAGGTGTTATCGGTTTCGGGACTTACAGGTTCTTCCTGTTGAATTTGTGCTGGTGCTCGCCCAAAACCACTGGTTCGAACTGCCGGTCTAGTGGCTATGCTGGTGGGACGGTGTGCCTGTGCAAAGTGATGTTTGACCAACCGCTGATCGGGTTGCTGTTCTTCTGACATATTTTTGCTGCAGTTTGCGAATGTTCTGATTGTGTTTGGTTGAGTATCTGTCTGTAGCTCTGTCTTGATTGGTTCCGTACGTATTTCTGATGGGGCTTTTGGACTCCACCCATGTGCAGTACTGTGTTCAATGGCTGAATCGCTTTCGTCCAGCGACGAACTTTTCCGGCGTTTGTCTAAACTGGCATCTGTTCCCAAGGAATGGCCCGTTAACTGTTGTGTGTCACGTAGTTTACTAGGCAAAAGCGGTAAGCAGTTTAATTGTAGTGATGCGGTTCGCGCTCCTGTCAACCAAGTACTGGCCCTAGTCAATTTGACCTGTCTGTGAGTCGCGACAGGAACCCTCGTTAAAATGTTAGATGCTGTTCGTCTCACAGTGCTTTTATTGTCTGAATCTGCGATTTTCGCATTGTTCACTGTCAAAGGTGGCGCAAACAGTCCACAATCGATCGTCTGGTAGTGTGTATTTTGGATTGGCACGACGGCTCGCTTTGATTCTCCTGAGCACGTGTCAGCGAGCGTTTTTGTGCTTTTGAGTGCCGACTTCACTCTTCTTGGTTTACCCGTAAATAAAATAGGGCTAGATGGGACTGATTTAGTCCCCATACTCGGCGTGCCAATAGGCGGAATGTCGAACTCCTCCTTCTTGGTGGATTCCGTAACCACACATTTTTCATCATCGCCTGCTTTGTTAGCTCCAATGTCTTCTTCGCTCGTTTGCATTGAGTCTTCGGTATCCTGTAGGGTGGACTTGCAGCTGTAGCTCAATATTCTGGAAGCTTGTAGATCTACTGGGCTCATTGGGGGGCTGGAGCTTGTTTGGGGGGAGGCACTGCTGTCCGGGAACACATACCTACTCTCTGTTTTGTTCCTGTGTATCTTGGACTTCAGTTGGGGTATTATGGCTGGGTTTAGCCCTGAGTGAAGTTGTTTACGCCTCTTAAGTCTGGCTTCATACTGACGAAGGCGCCGCCGCCGCCTGCGTCGACGACTGATTATGAACCAGGCGATAAACAGAGCCATTGGAAAGCCTAAAATACAAAGCATTATCGAACTGGCCACCAAGACATAAATCTTGAGAGTACGTTTGAGTTGCTCGTTTGTGACTGATTGCTGACGTCCCTCAGTTCGTCCAATATAGAAGCTAGCATCCATTCCAGGAACACTGATGGAAGGTGCTAGAAACGAGTTGTATGGGGAATTTTCGTAGTTTTCTTTGATTTTCGTTCTAGCAGCCGAGGTTGTGTCCAAATTGAATTGTGTGTTGTGGGACCAACCCGTGAACGATCCACTCCCCACACGGTTGCCTGAAATGTGAAAACGAGTTTTTATTGACTATCCGAACTTTAACGTTTCAGGCAATTATATTATTACACAGACCTTTTTAGGTGATCTGTATCGGGAGTAGTCCTGATATTATAGAGAACACATGGTTTCTTTTTGTTTGTAAACTTTGACTGGGCACCCTGCGCAGGTCCCCAGTACTGCTAAATAAATTCATGTATTTTGTTGGTACGCACAACCTTTGAAGGGCTTTTACGATAAATTGATCTCAAACGGAAAGGTGCGTTGTCAGCCCAGATTGGTAATTCATTCATGCGAACTTTGGAACCGCCTATCTGGTTCCATGTGAAATGTTTGGGTTGAGTATACCTGGTGGATCATATTAAGTTAGCTGGGATTGCGTTTGTGCTACCCCCAGGTGTCTTACTCGATCTTTGAATATATAATCGAAACCGGCCAGTCATGTTTTTCTCTGGACTGAGTGTAATCACAGCGAACGGCCAATCGTGGTGTCATTCAGTGGAGCCATGCAGTCTCAGCGAGATGACTCTGTGGTTAAAGTGCAAATTTACTGACGGGAAAGTTCGTGGGTTGAACCCGACATCTCAACTTTTATCAAGGTTTGGACAACATGGCAGTATCCCAGCCCTTGTGCTTCCTTCTGGTGGCATGGCAGTTCGGCACCGAAAGGGTGCTACAGCTGGACGATATATATATATAT